CCGGGGTCCTGAGCCACGCCACGGCCCCTAAACCCCCTCCTCTGCCCGAGGGAAAACCCCACGTTACACACAGCCCTGGACCTGCCTCTTCCGGGAGCCGGGGCTACCACCGTGCCCGTTAAGGGGCCAGGGAGCCAGAGATCCAGAACGAAAGCTAAATACAGGGAATAGTGTGAGATTTTACTGCTTAAGGTTGTACAGTCTGTGTTGGCCAGTGTCTTCGCGAGCTCCCTGATCCAAGTGAGGCATTTCACAGCAGGAACGATAATAGCAGGAGCGAAACAATCAGTACAGCAAGGGAAATGTTAACACATGCACGTTTAGACCAAAAGGCAGAGGCTGCTGAAGGTTAAGGAACTACCTACTTCAACTGTCACTGCCTCTTCCTTATTTTATTTATTTCAAGGACTCCCCCTCCCGCCAAACAAATTTATGACACGGCAGAAAAAAAAAAAAAAAACCCAAACGTCACCAACAAGAAAGGCAGCTCGCTATGGACACCTTGGAAACCCAGGACAGCTTAAGGGGTAGTGAGCCCCACGGCAGCAGCCCATTCTCGTCTCCTCCCCTTCCCACCGCTCTGCAGTATTGCACTCCCTGGCTGGAAGCAGCAAAAAGCGTGGATGGGATTGTGCTCAGTGCTGGAAGGAGCAGAGGAGCAGAAGGCAGTTCTGCTGCCCGCAGCAGCCCAAGGAATCATTTCAGGGACCTTCTGAGGGCAATTAACTGTAAGAAGCGATGCCTCCTTTCTTAAGATCAGTTTTTGCCTTCCAGGCCCTCGGAAAGGCACACATTTCAAAGACGGGCAAGATTCTCTATGCTACCAAATTCACTAAACGAATCCACTGCCGCAGTTTCTTAAACAGCTATATGGCTATTACCAAACTTCTCCAAAGAATCAGGGTGGAACTGTGGAAAACCCACCACAACTCCTTTCCCCCCAAAGAGTGATGCATTCCTTCCTTCCTTCCTTCCGTCCAGTGTTGCCTCATGTATTTTATCCATCTACCCCTCCTGACACCTTGTGTAACATTTGTTGTGCATCACCTAAGCTCTCTGCAGCAAAGGACAGACAAGCAAGGAATTCATCCCATTGGGGCTTGCACTTGTTAACAGTTTCATCGCTGACGTAACATTTGTTTCAAGCAAATTATGATTAGATGCACTGCTCTTCCCCAGTGTTCTCACTCTTAGGCTGATCATGATGCAAACTGAATGTTTCTCTTTTTGCCAAAATTCAAACCATACGACCACTGTCAATTTAAATATTGGCATTTGTCTACAATTTCTAAATCTGTGACTCAGCAGACCTCTCAGATCAAGGCACTTCACTGAAGTATATTTATTAACAAAAAACTCAGCATTTCATAAGCAACAGACAAACCCGTTGTTATTTACAAGTTATATATATGTGTGTGTGTGTGTGTGTGTGTATATATATATATATGAATATATATACATATATAAACTACTACCACAACAGGCAGTTACATTATAACTGAAGCCAATTTTTGCATTGTTTAAAAACATTCCTTAAACACAAGCTGATCAGAATTATCGGTTTGTCCATATGTGTGTATATTAGCAGAAGTATATACTGATAGTTTTGCACATTTTTAAAATTATCAAGGTAATTATCAAGTGAAGATTAAAAAGTAGTGCAAACTGGGACATAGAAAAAGACAAGTAGTTATGTATGTTGAAATACAATCCATTGGGAACATATCGGTGTTTCAAAACCAATAAATCAGTGAGAAATCCCTAATATTTGGCATGATTTCCTCACCCTATTCCCAGAAGGTCAAAAAAAGATTGCCTTTTAAACTAGCAGTGATTATTGCATGCTATATCTTTGGAAAAGCAGAGTTTTAACCAAAAATATTTTTAATGCATTTGAAATGTGGACATACTTATCTCAGGGAGAGGAAAAAAAAAAAAGAAGACAGAAAATGTTACCAATAATGTTACCAAATCAATCCAGTTAATTTGTTCCATCCTTGCTTTGAGTAGTCCCCTGTACCTCAGACAATCCAGTTGAGTGAATTGGGTACTTCAGCAAATATGAGCAACAGCTTTTCATTCAGTAGAAAACCTTTAACCATCTCAGTCTTAACTTAAATTAATCCCTATTTAAGTGCTGACAGTAAATTAATTTATATTTCAGATTAATATGACAGAAAAAAGTTTATCTTTTTATAAACAATGATATACAAAAGACAATTTGCATAGTTACAATTCAAGCACAAAGTCACTGTAAATAGGTACAAAGGCATTTATAAATTTTCTAGATTTGCCACTGTTTGAACCAGTCAAATCTTACATAGGTATGAATGTAAACCTGAAGGGATTGGGGAGAACAGTCAGTGTTTTTGCTTAAAAAATAGATGAATGTAGAGAACAGTTTTTAAAGGTTTTTAAAAATATTTTCTGCAGCAGGAACAAACAGTTCAAACTCCAAAGAAAGCCATTCAAAATGCCCAAATTCCTCCTATACAGTACAGAAAGTTTGTTCATAGGTTTCAAACCTACATACAAAATGAGGCACTAGTTACACTATTTTGGAATGCATTCACAATCCTGCCATTTCAGTCCAACCCATAATTTCCAAATACTGTTGGCTTTAACTTCCTAGGAAAACAGATCCTCAGAAGGTGGTGCGTAAGAAAACCCAACAAATGCATCATCTGCCTCTAGGACACTGGCATTAACAATGCTGTAATCTGAAGAAATACAAACTGAGTATGGGACCATTTCTTCTGTAAACACTGCATCAAAATTCCCAATATCATCTGGGCCAACCTAGAAAACACAAAGATGCATCATTTTTCATATTAATAATGCGTATTTTTCAAAAAGGCTTGTCCTTTAGATCTCAGTTTAACTCTTGAGGTTCTCTACTTCATGAAATAGAATCTTCTATAAGTATAGAAAGTTTAAAGGAACCACACAGCAGCAACGCCTGAAAACATCTATCAAAAGGTTGTTTGCTTCTCCTGGGCGGGAGTTTAGACCAAGGCTACTCATGCATTTATGATTTGACAAGCCTTAGAAATACTAAGAAACAGCTGTTTCTTAAATGTCAAAAGAGCAGTCAGCACTGATGGGTTCCAAGCCTTCATCTTTCTGATACAAAAACCCTCTTTCCAAGACTTGGCAGGCACAAACTTTTTAAAACAACACGCAGCACCTACCACATTAGGATTAAATGGTGGTGGAATCTTCTTCTGCAGAAGGTCAGTCCAGCTGAGAGATTCGAAGAACGGGTGCTTCTGAATTTCAAGCTGCAGTAAGGAATAAAGATTTTAGCTGTTGCAGAAATCCATCTTGCGTACCACAGTAAGTATTTCTTTAGATTGCATTCACAAACAAAACCTACAGAAGTCAAGTTCTTCAGCCACTGAGTCTACTTGGCAATAAAAACTGTGGTTGGCAAAAAGAGCAATTACAATTTGCTAGCATGGCTCCACAGACTCGTTTTCCTATCAGCTCCAGTCTTCTGTTCAAATCACCATCTTACACCAAGCACAGAACAAGAAGGCTCTCTGTTAGTATTCCTGCTCCTCATCCACGTTGTTGAGCTTTTATAAAGCACATTGCTAAGAGGCAGCTGCTGCAACAACTCTGCAATATGCTTCTAGTTGGGAGGCAGCAAAAAGCTACGCCCTTCCAAACAAAACTACCCGTTCATCTTTCTCCACACCACAAACACGTACAACTTAGTAATCTAAATGCTTCACTACAAGGTCAATACATGTCCAAGCACCGAGGCTGTGGGAAAATTGTGAAAAGCTCACAGTGAGGGGAAGATAAAAAAAATGTTCCTCTTGGTCACTCCTCACTGCACCATTCTCAGAATACTTATGCTTTCTCTGAATACCTTTTTGCAAACAAAGTGTTTGTTTTCACACTGGGAAAACACATGCTATTATTTTAAAGCTGATTAAAAAGAGCTGCTGCTTGCATGCTACTAGCCTTCCTCTTGCTTTGAGCAACAGTATTTTTGATGTAGCCAGTTATACTGGCATTACCAGAAAGTAACTTCTCCTTTTCATTATCCCCCAGTTTCACCACAAGCATCAAATGGTGTATCTCAGCACACCTGAGTAACTACTACACTAGCAACGGTGTTTCCTTTCTTTCATAGTACTTACAGAAACTGCAGAATGAAACTCAGAATATTGATATCTCACAAAAATCATATCTCCTATCCCTGAAACCTTTCAGGGCTTGTTAGACACAAATGTCTTCACATATATAAAAAAAAGAGAAAAATATGGGAGTGGGGAGATAAAAATAGAGAATATTCTTTATTGTATGTATCTATCTCCACCTATTACACTTGTGCTATTGACAGAAATTTAGTGATGTTCCTTCAAATGAGTTATGGCGTGATAATTTCAGATATTACATACAAAGTCTTCTCTTGCTCCAAGTCTGCTTTGCCGATCTTTCTCCAAAAGCTCTTCCAGAATAGACCAGGCTGTAAGACTGATTCCTGGGCGCAAAACCAGGGGTTTATGAAGAATATTTTCATACATCTCAGCAACGTCACGGCAGTAAAAAGGAGGCTAAAAATAAAAGTGAAATTATACATGAATATTAAAGTCAGTTTTTTCAATCACTTTGTTTCTTATCAATGGATAACTATAAGAAATAAGAACTGCTAACAATGAAAAAGAAATCTGCCTCTTCAAATTAACTTCAATTATCACACAATTATTAACTTCATATTAACTTCAACTTCGAGAAGCAAAGAAAAATCCACAAGAGGAAAAAAACAGATATTGTCTTATAAAATCAAAAGAAAAAATGTTCATCATTAAAATGAAGCATATCAGCCAGTTCACTTTTGGGTTAACTCCAGGGTTACATCACATGGGGCAGGGGAAGCGACCCCTGCTACTCCCCCCACATTAAATACATACCAGTCCATAGAGCATTTCATAAAGAACTGCACCAAGACACCACCAGTCCACTGTGTTGTCATAAGGCTGCTTTTTAATCACTTCTGGTGCAAGATACTAAAAAACAAGCAAATTTAGCATTAGTCTAGCAATAAGAAAATCTAGGTTTTAGTCACATCACAGAAGCATCTTTAGAAGAGATTACTTTATGGTGATTATAAGACTGCTAAATATTTACCTTGTACTTTAACAAACTTGGCAAATACTTCCTCACCATCTGGCCACTTACCAACTAGGACAACTGTTTTCTGAACTGAAATAATCCTTTCCATACACAATGATTTTGCCAGGCTGCTTTGCCACCCCTATAGTGTAGCTGGTTTTGTATTTCAGGTAGGTTCACAGAGACAGTGAAGCACCTTTGACAGCTGGAACAAAGCAAGGAGCTCACTCTGAAGAGGCAGCACCTCCCCATGCGCAGTGCAAGAGACCCCCTCTCCCAGCCAGCCGGCTGCTGCCCTGCTCTGCCCCTGAATCCCTCATCCCCGACGCAGGATGAGGGATTCTCCTCAGGGATGATGGACACGGGCTGAACACGCAACACCATCAAACACTGACCGACAAGGCGGACTGGTCTCCATCTGCCCCACAAGAAATCTGTTTAGCATCTCAGCACTAATCTACTCTGCAGAGCGAGAACACACAGTTCACACGATTATATTCTTTATAGACATATTCTTTACAGAATAAAATCACTACGGCTGCATCATCATCTCCTCAGCCCCGATCTGCTGCATATGGGCAATTTCTAACCTCATCTCCTCTCAAGACCAGATGATCCGAACACCCATTTGGATCATTCCACTATCCAAATTTTGAAAAGTAATTTGACAAACAGATGATAGACAAGGCACAAATATCACTGTAATGAGGGGATCTGAATGCTGCAGTTTAAATAGATCAGTATTTCTCACACTTTGTGAATGTGACTGTCCTCCAAATTATTTGTTTACAGATGCCCCTGCATGAATAACAAATGGAGTATTTTGAACTCAACTACTTAAGTTTTTTCTAATCTTTCATAACCTCCTTTGAAATCTTTCATAACCTCCTTTGAGCTTTTTAGATCTTAGAACTCATCAAGTCACTCAATTAAGTGTTGAGAAATCCTGACAAGAACTTTATGCTTCTAGCAGGATCTTGAAAGATCTGAATCTAAATCTTAAATTAAAAAAAAAGCTATTATGTAGCTGCTATGTGTAAGCTGAATATTTTGAAGAATTCATATTAAGCAATAATATTAGCATCCTCTTATGTTGCAATTCATGCAAGTTCTATTTAAGTGTGTAGATTAAGTTTTTAAGTTTTTTAATATTTCCTCAAACAGGTCCAGTTACCAGCATTGTATATACTGTCCTTTGAACCTTCCAGGATGTTCAACAAATATTGTTTCAGCTCAGTTTTATGGTCTCTTTCTCTCAGGATAAGTAGCATAAGTTGTTGTCACACACTACCTTTTTTGAGTTCAATTGCTTTCCCAGCTAAATACTATTCCTCACCCACCCCTCACTATCTTCAAAGTTCTTTCTGTAGTTTAAAGTAAGATTACAATTTTATATTTGTATTATAATATTTATATTATAATCTTTATAATATTTATATTTAATTATAAAATTAAAGCCATCAAGCTTGAGCCAATCTTGGTGTTCTTGGTCATTCAGTGCTTGGTGAAGCCATTGTAAATGTTGAAGAAGTTCTCTGGAATTTAAGGACTCCAGTTTAGTTTTCTCATAGAAAGAAACAAGGCTCTTAATACTTACTGATATATTGATAATATACCAATCCAAATAAACTCACAAAGCAAGTTCAAAGCTTCATCTATACACAAAATTTGCTCAGGTCTCAAGTGTTTATAAACTTAATATAAGTTAAGTCTTTATAAACTTAATAAAAATCACTGTCAGGTTAGGGTAAGTAGCTTCATACTAGCAATTCTGTTCAAGGAAATTTGTTACCCCAGTAGCTTGTGCAACAGCTGCTGTATCTAGCCAGCAGTCAGGAAAAATGGGAAGCAATACAATGTGTGAACAGGATTGGGAAGAGGGAGGAAGGAATAGATAGGTTATGCAGATAGAGGTGGAAGGCAGGGGATTCTGTGTGTTAATAGAAAAGGACAAAGAACAAATCTTCAGGAAGCTAGGAATGGCTTGTTGAAAAATGCAAATGTCCAAAGTACACAAAGTGAATATTTGATTTTTTTAATCACACAAATATTAGTAAGATTAGTCTAAAAATAAAACGGCAAAAAACACAGAAGTTGTCAACATACTTCTGGTGTCCCACAAAAAGTTGCAGTGGTATCAGAAGTTGCAATCCCTTCTTTACAAAGTCCAAAGTCTGTTAACACAACGTGACCCTGTTTAAGAAAGAGTAGCATTTTAAAAACAGAACATGTTCAACATGTGGCTACATGTGGATAGAAATGTCAAATCTGCAAGAGCCTAGAGAATATAAAAAATAATGATGCATACTTACCAGTGAATCTAGGAGAATGTTTTCCGGCTTTAAATCCCTATTGAAAAACAAAACCAAAGAACACTTCATGAATTCCAATCAGCAGTCACTAACACAAAAGCTTCAAAGGCAAGGAAGGACTTTCATTCTTCAGCAGAAAGAAAGCTTTAAGATTTGGTGCAGTCATTTTATTCAAATTTCCTATAAGATGACTTAATGTAGTATTTTTTTTATTTGGTAATTTGTCTTTTTATACCTCTACAGGACATATTCCCATATGTTTAAGAAATTTACCTGTATACAATATTTATGGAGTGTAAGTAGCCCAGTGCACTGGCTATTTCAGCAGCATAAAATCTGGCTCTGTGCTCAGGAAAGGAACGTTCTCTTTGCAAGTGAAAAAACAGCTGTAAAAAAGGCAAAGAAATAAATAAGAATTCCCCAAAAAATCAAGTTAGCAAGGTGTTATTTTAACAGAAAAAAATGTGTTTTTATTTAACTGTTCATGCCTTTTTTTTAATGTGAAATGAAATGAAATTGCTTTTGCTGCCTGCTGACTTCTGTCACTCCTTTCCTCACTTCCTGTTCTCTCTGTAGCTCAGGAATATATAGGAATTTATTAAACACACGAGGACAGACCCCTAAAAACAAGACTAGTCAAAAGTAAGTATACTAAATCACTGTCCCAAGAGCAGAGGTAGACAAGATAAAATCATGCTACCTAAGGAAATATAAGCAGCTATCAAATAAGCCACCTTTTATTTGCATATGTTGCTATTTAAAGTTTTGCATGTAAGTAATTACCTAACTACATTTGGAGATCACTTATACGTGGATCACCCGTGGAGATGCATATTCTGGGTTAATCTACACATACACATTCTCTCAACTGCAGACAACCCCCTGGCTTCAAATAGTTTGAACAGATACAGAAACCTGGCCAAAGATGAAATCATATTCATACGGATTAAACCGTACCACATATATTTTTTAAACAAACAAAAAATCGAGAATGTTTTCTGCCTACTTGGAAAGTATGACACCGCCCTTCCAAGCACCTTGACCTCACTCAACCTTGAGAGTTGTTTCGGACTGTACTGGAGTTTGCCTAGGTGTCAGATTCCCCTGGGAGAAGGCCAAGCCCAGCTGCAAACCAGGACTCAGAGCAGAGCACCAGGGTTTTGCTAGGACTGTCTAAATTAATCAGACCAGAGAGCGGCCCATCAAGTTTGGACTCTGATCATCCAAGGGCACAGATGCTCCAGGGGGCACCGTGAAGCCGCAGGCCACAGGACCATGAGGGTGTATCCCAGTTCACGCCATGCCAATGTACAAACAAACTTGTACCAGCTGGGAAAGTAAGAGTCAACATATTTAAACTTCCCTCTGTCTAGGCAGCTGCGGGGCCATACTAGAAAACTTTAGCATATGCCACAACTAAATCCTTGCTCCTTTAGAGTCCACCCCTTCATCTCACGGGCTCCTTCAGCTATCAGAGTCCTGTCTACACAACAGTATCTTGTCTCACTGCATTACTGTCCTGCCTTAAGCAGCTGTACGACCTTTTAGAAGAAAAAATTTCATATCAATAAATTGCCAGACTAAACGCACTGTAAGCAAGAAGACAGGCAGCTCCTCTTTACAGCATGTAGTATGCTGGATAGTTCTTAAGGATTTTTCACTATTTTTTTTTCTCTCAATCACAGGTACAATTAATTTGATAGACAGATCCAGATGTTACTAGTCTGCAATATCTCTGATTTTCCATATTAGTTTTTAAAGAAATGGAAGCAACATTTTATGTCCTTCTCGCATGCTCATTAGCTATTCAGCCATTTCACAGACAAGTTTCTTGAGCATTTGTGGAAGTACTTGGTATTTTGAAAACCAACAGCTAAAAGACAAACAAGTCCAGAACATTTTACTTAAACATTTACAGACTTTCTCATGTCCTTTTCACATTTTTCCCCAGGTTACTTATTGACGACTCAGATTCGACTGCACTGCTTCAAGGAAAAGAATCCTGAGGATTAGGCTGTTTGGTAATAAGTAATTAGACCGTGCAGAGCCATGGAACAATCCTGAGGTTCCCAATAAAGGCAAAGCAATAAACTCTGCTGCCTGTTTCTTCTCTTCCATTTTTGAAAGACTGCATCTCAAGTAACACAGATGCAAGAGCAAAAGACAGTTTTACATGTTGAAACTTGTCAACATGTCATTAATTCATAATAGAGGTAACTTCACAGAACTGAGAGGGTATTTTATCTTTTATATAAAAAGAGGGTATTTATAGTTGACAACCATGTGGATAAATTCTAGCTTAAAGGTGTTGCTAAAAAGAGTAACAGAGTCTACTTAGTTACTGAGGCCTATTACAGAATCATTATTCAAAAAATAAAGTAACAGGATTTTCAAAACTTGCGAGAATGTTTATCATAGCACATTGCAAAGGCGTATTTTGTTTCTCCCATCTCTAACTAGCTGAACAGAGAGACCCAAATCCCAACACAGTAAGTGCATACCTCTCCGCCATTAACAAAATCCAGAACAAAGTAAAGCTTTTCTGTTGTTTGGAATGAGTAATGTAATCCCACCAAAAAAGGATGTTTCACATTTTTCAAAAGCACATTCCGCTCAGCCATAATATGTTTTTGCTGTAAGGAAGCAAAATGTCTATAAGTAAACAGGAAGAAAAAAAAAATAAGGGAAAAGAAGGGGAGGGAGATGGAAGAAAGCATGTTTGTCTTCACCTCTTTTCTGTTAAGAACAATTTTTTTCTGCAGCACTTTGACAGCATAGTATTTCCCATCCAGTTTTCGTTTTGCAAGAAGAACCTGTGAAATTCAAAAGACAGACAGACAGGTGATTGTTGCAGTTCATATTCCATTAATAATAAATTTATAGTTCTAGCATGCTATTTGTTCACACTACAATTTCTTTGCTTTTAACAGAGTCAATTGACGGTACAATTACCAGTAGAGAGAAAACTTGGAGTCAGCTTACAGTTCAGTAAAATCTGCCCATACAGTGACATCATGAAGGGCTGAATTATAACAATTATTTTCTGGGACCTGCTGAATCCATCTTCTGAGATGCAAACTGTTAAAAATGGTTGAAATTGTTTGAAGATAAATTTATGAAAAGCTTTTCAGATTTAAAATAACCTGAAAACAAAGCTTCCAAGAGAGTTTGCCTGCTACATTTTCTCTCTCTGAAGGGCATCAATCTTAAATTCACTTTTGGGCAGGCTGTTGCTTACACTGCTTCACAGTGCTCGATGTTTGACAAAAGAGCCCATCCCAACCCAGGGAAATGGAGGATTTGAGCTCCAGCTGCTGCACAAGCCCAGGAGAACCTGCTTTCCCTTCTGGGGGAGACAGAGGGTGCCCACTGCTCTTGACAAGGAAAGAAAACTGCTCTTCTGGCACAGGAGTGCCAAGTGCCGCCCCAGAGAGGAGGTGGCTGGGCTCTGCGAGGGGCAGCAGTTTCCAGCAGCCCCGCTCCCACGCCACAGCTCCAGGCACCAGGAGCTGCCCAGGGCCCTGCGCCAGGCTGAGGCACAGCGCTGCGGAGCTCACCTTGCCAAAGCTGCCTTTCCCAATAACCTTCAGGAAATCAAAGTCTGTGGGCTTAGCACTGAAAGACATTCAGGAAGGAGACAGGTTATTTCAGGAGAAATCGCAAACCTTGCAGCTGTACAGTAGTCTGCTTTTATAGCACTGGAATTGGTAAACAAGTGCAAATAAGAAATAGCTTTGTCACCAAAATGATTATCCATATTCTCAACTTCTAGAACAGTTACATCACTATTCACCTCTTCATTTACTGATTCCAAAGGGAAATACTCTCAAAATTTCCTATCAGGCCTCACATCTTCCCCTGTCAGCAAAGAACAGGTCAGTGAGGAGAGCAAAACCCAAAGAGCAGCCATCCCTGCAGGAAGGCGAGGAGAGCGCAGGTTCACACAGACTCGAGAGCAGCGACTCCACAGAACACCCCGAACAAGACACAGGTTATGACTGTACAGTGACTCCATCTGTAATATCAACGTGGTAGCTTGCTACTTTGTCATGCATTAAAATGAACTTGTTTTCATAAACTTTTCACATTCTTTTCTTAACAGTTGTGGACCCCCTCCCAGAAAAGAAAGGTCATCTTTGATATCCTTAAATAAAAGTATAGCAAATTAGGAAAACATGAAGGTGAAGATAAAAAAGGTTTAAAATAGGATTAAATGTTTTACTTCCTCCTGAGCAGTACAAATCAACAAATGTAACCAGAGAACTTTTCATGCTATTAACAATTACATTCAGTTCATATTTCAGTCAAACCTACTGAGGATTTCCAGATGGTCCCAAGTTGATATTCTGTGAGGTAGAGTTTAACTGTTGGGAGAGAGAAAGTTTTTAAAATTTTCTTACATTTCAAGCAAAATTAATTTCAAAATACTCTAATAATTTGCTTACTACAAACCTCCACACTTGCTATATTAGATATTTAAGTGTATATCTAACATCCAGATTGGGCATTTCCTAAGTTGAAGTATCTGGCCATCAGTATCTTTTCACAAAGTATTATTTCTATAAACATCGTATTGAAGTCTAAAGCTAATGAAAACAATTTTGTGTCCAAATCTTGAGGACATGGTTAGAAACAAAAATTTACATCAGCCTGTTTAAGTTAATAGCTTCTTACTCATCCAAAACTTAACTCTTTCTTCATTTCCTCTAGGAATATATTTTCTACCTTTTTTTTTCCCCTGAATTCTCCAAGATCTTGCCAACGTTATTTTAAATAATCCACTGCTTATGCAAGAAACTAATTAAAGACATAGCACTTAAAAAAAAAAGTAATAATAATAATAAATCACCAACCTTTCCTATCCTGATATTAAAGGTTAATTAGCTGAATTCCAGGAATGGCAGAGGTGTTGCCAGTACTGGTACACACCCAGGCAGAGTTTGGAAATTACAGGGAGAGGAGGAAGCTATTTCCATTTAAGTAGCTTTCTCCATTACATTTTGGTTTTAAATAAGAAAAGCAATGTTTTCACTGCACTTTGGGAGTTTACCAGGGAGAGATAAGTTGTATTCAAAAACAAGTAATCTGCAGGCAGCCTCGTGGGCAGGACAGAAAATAAGAAAGCTTTGCTGTGACAAAGGCAATAGCTATGACTACTGCAATAATAAGAAATAATTACTGCATAGATTTTCCAAGAAGTACTATGTTTTATGATGTCTCCTAGAGGGTTTGTTTTCATTTCTTTTAACTTCACCACTTCAGCTGAGAAAGAGAGATTTTCTATTAAAAAGCATGGCTCAGGACTACGCATTAGCTCTCTACCTATTTTGATTTTTGTTGTGGCATGACCCATCATTAATCTATCACTGAAAACTTAGGTTTTCCACACCACTAAAAGTCTTTTTCAAAGGAAGAGGAGGAAAACAGTGTTTTAAATTAGAAGACACTGCTGCATGCTTGCTTGGGACACAGTGCTGTGCCCCAGAAAAACAAACACCACTGTCAACAAACCAACCTCTCTCACATCTGAAAACACCTTACAGTCCATGGTGCAAAAGTTTTGTTTAAAAGACCACAGAGGTGATTTACCAGCTTGTAATTTTCAGTAAATAATATATTTAAGATTGCCCTAACCTAGATAAAGTTTAGAAGACTGTTGTATAGTTCTGTTTTATTACCTTCTGAGTGCTCCTTTCATCTTCATCTTCGAATGGATCTGACTGGTGTTTTGGGTTATCCATCTGAAGAAATGCTCTGACATCTGGGCTAGAAACACAGTTAACGGCATTGGGACACCAGTAACCTACATGATTTATAGCCATAAAAATGAAGAATAATACCTTAAACAGTGATGGTCAAAAGAGTTCCTCATCATAAAGTTTACACTTAAATTAGAGTAATTAAGGATAGCATACAAGAAACACTTCTGTAAGAACATAACTCAATTGGTTAAAATATTGTATATAATATATAAAAATTTCCACTTGAGAAGATGAATGTAAAAAAATCTCCCCTTATGAAAGTCTGACATGGTGAAATACACATGTTCATAAAGATTTCATGAGAAAATGCTCTGCACAGCTGCATTTAAAGGTAATTACTAGAAGAAAAATAACTATTCAAGTTCCAACTGTCTACCAACCGCCAGAAAAAAAAAATCTTTCAACAATTGAAGAATTAAGTGTCATTTTTAATTTTCTAAAATTAATGAGATGGTGCCTACGATACAGAATGAAATACATCATCTATAGCCCATAGGGATGCACATCCTGAGAGGTACATGGTAGTAATGCTCCTGCTCCCAATCATTTAACCAGAATATTCATCCCTATGAATTCCAGCTGTGTGCTAACAAGACAAATGTAGCAAATCCTTCCAGCCAGCAGCAAGACAAAATCTACTATCCTTCAGGGACTGACAAGAGAAACTGCAAGCTCTGGTAGTATCTGAGGAGATAAGTTTTATCTGCAGCACTGGTATCCACCTTCTATTTTGGTGGGAGTTAGGGAAGGAAGATTTGGGGAAAAGAGGAGAAAAAAAAAAAACCACAACAGAATTCTGGGAACCTGCTCCCAGGAAGCAGAGCTAACAAAGGAACACATTAAAAAGCACTTAACATCCTAATGACAGCACAATAGGTGATACTTTTACTTTATTTGGGACATTAATTCCTAAATAGATGGGTATCACTTATATCCTGCCTACCACTCAAAAAGCTGCCCTAAATCTTTCAACTTCCTTCAGCTCAACAAAAGATTGCCAGTTTACTAAAGAGGAATCATATCCAAATTTCAGAGATTAAGCTCTTTGAGAAGGTCTCAGGGCAACCCACCCCAAAACAGCAATTTCTGCATGAGCCCTTCAGTACAAGAACACTGTCCTACCATATAGCTGCCCTTTCATCTTACCATTAGTGTACATAAGTAGTTTTATAACAGAAACAGATGCACTTATTTTGCTATCTATAATCTATTTCGCCCTCCGTATGTAAAGTGAGGATCAAAAGTGAGAGATGTTTCTGACATTCTCCAGTTACTGTATTTCATATTAGCATTTCTGAGTCCAACTCCTGTCACATGCCAGTTGACTTTGGCACCTGGGAGATCTGGCATTTCTAAATCCCATCTGACATCTACTTCAGTTATCTTCAACCTTTTGTGTTTAAAATATAGTGACAAGACAAGTTCAGTTTCACACCATTTCAGTTTAAGACCTCCAATCTTACTTACATAAATTCCAAATGCTTATGTATTTTATGTTTTGTATTTTGAGTCCAGAAATACAAAAAAAATATGTGGTTTGAACACTGTAGTAATACGGACCCACGATGTCATCGTTTTTCAGCTTTTGGATATCATGAATAAAAAGTGATGATTAATGTTTTTCACTATACGCAATGTAACAAAACCTTTCTGCATTATTTCAGACAACTGGCTGATTAAATAGAGCACACTGTATAATACACCTCAAATAGTTACTATAGTAACTTTGTTCACGAGTGAGTTCATAGCAAAATCAGCTCAGGCTGCAATGCTGCTAATGCAGCCACAGGGTATTCTACAATTTCTACAACATGTAGCAGCCAGAGCCAAAACCGATCAATGTTCCATGATCACGCCCATAATTTTAATGGTTGAGGAAATTATATGAAGAAGTGATTAAAAATAAAAAGTCCGATGCACCACGTCCTTAGACAAGACTGCAGTGCATCATGAAAATGCTGTACAGATTGGCAAGATTTCTGTGGTATATTAGATCACATTCTGTATAAATTCAATGTGTTTGAAAACACATTGGAGCACTGGAACTACTCTTAATAGCTCTAGCTATGAAATTAAAAGGACTGTGGAGTCAGTTTAAAAAGGAACGCTAAATATACCTAGCAGCAAGTGTTTTCTGTTTAGCTTTTTGAGAGGGATTGGATAAATATATTCATGCGTTACCTCCAAAATCCATGAAGGGGTCCCAAGATCTGCCTAAATAGGGCTCTTCTGTGATACAGAAGGCAAATATATGAGCATACATTAGACTGCCTATGTAAATATACAGAGCCACAAAGCAACTGTGGGCATACCCTCAAACACGAACAAGCCCAAGAAGTTACAAGGATTTTGGACTGAAATGGTAAGACTGTCAGGGACAAGACCTTAGTGTCCAGGAGAGGCTTCATTTAGAGGATTGTACCCAGCTCCCTCCCCTTCTCTGCGCACATTTAAAAACCTGCAGTATTTCTGTGCAAAATGCAGACACCAAAAGCTATAAAGTATTGGAAGATTTTAGAAGAATAAGGTTAATGTAATGAGAGGTTCCCCTCCCCAGTATGGACCGCACAATCTTATAATCTCAGACTTTTATATTCATGTCTAAATCCATCTGATTCTGAAAACAGAAAACTTAGTTACACTTAGTTACACAAATATACTTCTCTGGGGAACAAATACAGACCCCAGTTCTCACTTCAGATACTGGTAACTCATTTCCTAAAGGGGTTGCAGGATCTTCTTTGGGAGTTGTGCAAATGTGCCGGTTTTCATTACGGAACTACTTAAGTAATGACTATTTCAAAATAGTCCTTTTTAACGCATCCATTACTATACATCTGGTTTCAAACATTTTTTCTTTCAAAGTGTTCTGCTAGACCATTAAACACATTAGGATTTTTTTTCAGTGAAGACTTGCATTTGAGCAGCAGTCTCTCTGCAGTGTCTATATTCTGACGATGACAGAAAGTTCTCCCTCAAACAAAAAAACAATGCTTTTCAATTTAGACACTCAGGTGCCTTCCCTTACAGAAGTGAGGAAGCTGTCATGAAGCATCCTCCAATTTTCAGTAAAGGAGTTTTCCTAAGCAGGACTGAAATTCTGACATCCTGACACTGGTTTTTGTGCTGAAAAGATTTAGAGAAAGGTGGACGACCTTACACCTCTCTGAGAATACACAGAGTGCTCAAAGTCTTCCTTGCGTATTACTAAATTATTTTACCTAGTATCAAATTTAAAGAGTTTATTAGAGTAGAATAGTTTAAGAAAGCATGGGGCTATCTGTAAAGTTGCCACGTATCCCTTTACTAGTTTCCAACAGTTTTTACTCCCCCTGCTTTCTACCGTTCCTATACCACCAAAGAACCCTTCCTTTACACCCACAATGTCAACCTGTGGTATTTCTTCACTGTTAGCATTTGCTAGCGCGTAGAAATGTCACAGATGATATAATTATTAATAAGATTGGCTGCAATGGGGTACTGCAAAAAAAGGAAAGCCAATTCCTTAAAAAATAAAAGTATCTCACAGTTATTTAAAAAATACACCACAAATATGATAGAATGAAATGCTTTTGCATTGAATTATGAATCAATTGTTTGATTTTTTTCTCCCATGGAAATGCAAAAACAGCAAAATACTAACTTAATTTTTTATTATGGAATTCTGTCTATAAAGCTTTTTATTGCTATTTATTTTAACACATTTTTGATAGCACCAAAGTCTTTCCAGTCCCTGTTTTTTAATACTGGCTTAAGTTAATTTTCAAGGATCAGACAGGCTAAGTGCCTGTTAAAGAACTTAGATTCAGCTACATATATATTTGACTAAAACACTTAAAAGTGCATGAAAAATTAAGGAGGTAAGTGATTTTGCATTTTGTTTGTTTTGGGTTTTCTTTAAAAAAATGCACACTTTTTTGGATGTATATTAGAAAAACACCATTTTACCTTTGGAAAACAAATATAAGGTATTTTGAGACAAACTATTTGGTAGTTGAACATACAGACAACCAAACAAGGGAGGGATTGTAGGAAAAATACTTTTTAAGACTATTTATCAATTTAACAAAACAGATTAGCTTCCAACAGCAGTTATTTTAAACTGCTTTTCATTCTTTCCCAGAGAAGAACAATGTTATGATCAGCAAGCTGACACTATTTCCTTTGCTGGAAAACGATCTCATCATGAAGACCTTGTTTTGTTTGAATGTTTTTTCCACTTGTCACAAGGAAGTATACATAAAACGCTAGGAAAAAAAAAAAGGAAAAAAGAAAAAAAAAGGAAGTATGTTTTTCAGGCTAATAGGACATTAAATAGCTCACTTGTTGGAAAAACACATCTGAGTGCACTGTGCAGAAGCATTCCCCATTGGAGACTGTTTTGCTTTCTGTGGGAAATGAACAGTTTCACAGGTTGCACAGATGGACAAACCAAGCAGAGCAGATGCACTGATGAAATTTGCTCAAAGCTGAAGCCAAATGTAGAGTTTCACTCTTTCTCTATTTTTAAGCAATGTGGAAAGCTGCAAGGATATATTTACCTCTTAGTTTAAACTGATTAGGAATAGATTTGAACTGAAGGAAAAAAAATACGCTCCAAACCAGGTCACACACAAAAGTGGATTTGACTGGAGCTGCTTAAGGCACTATTACCATTTTGCAGTGACCACTGTCCCACTAAAGAGGTTAAAACACGTACAGTGTGAAGAACAGTTTCGGTGGAAACTTCTTCACATGCTTCTTGACACTCTTGGTCAGCCCGGGCCACCTACCTGAGTGTGCTAACCCGGTACCCTCACCAGCCTGTATTCTGGAGGGCACTAACACCATTTTGAATCACACTACCAGAAGCATGCGGGCAACAACTCAGCCCCAGAGGGAAACCTCATCAGTGAGTAATGGTGAAGTTCTCAAGCACCACAGCTGGCAGCGAAACAAACATCTGCTCTACAGCAGGAGAGGAATCTGCCCTCCATGAGCTGAACACCAGGGAGCGAGATGTCTGCAAATTGCTTTGCAGGTAAGTTTGGAGAAAACAAAACCATTTGCTGTTTAGATTTTTCTTATAGGAAAGAACCACCATATTAAAGATTATTTATTGTACTTAAAAGTACTGAATAGGTACAATGCATTTTCCAGTTAAAAGTACTTAATTTGCAATTTCGTATTTGGCATCCCATATCATTTATAGAGTCCTTACAAAATGGAAATGAAACTACTTACTGGTTGCATAGCTCTGGCTGTCTAACTAAATTTTGAATGAATTCATTCAGTCCTGCTCTTCTCTGTTTAATAAAATCTGAAAAAAGACAGATTTATTAGGAATAATCAGTCAACTCATGAAAAAGACTCATTTTCAAATTTGGTATTTTTTAAGGACTTCAATATATATCAGAACAGGCTTGGCTCTAGGTATGAAATGAGGCGCTGAAGGGCGCAGAGGGGAGGCGAGAGCTCCAGCTTCTCTCTGACATGTGCCAAGGGGAACGGAGGAGACCTCCCCAAGGCGCTTCCCGACCCGCAGGCGGCCACGGGGGAACCCTGCGGAGCGGAGCCCGCCCGGCCCCGATGCTGCTTGGCCAGAAGCCGCCCGCAAAACTCGACTGCAGGGGCACAAGTCGAGTTTTGACACAAGCAGTCCCAGCAAGAAGCACATTTCAATCCGCGTAGCCAGCAGGCGCTCACATGTGAGCGTCGAAGGTAAATGAAACGCTGCTTTTCCACTTTGGACATTATTATTAAAAAAGAAACCCTAAGAAACTCCCCCCCCACCCAGCTTAAAACATTTAACTTTCTTTTCGCAGTATAGGAAGATACAAGCAGGACTTAAAATAGAAAAAGACATCTAAACATGGAATAAAGCGCAAAACAGAAATATATTCTCTTTTATTGTTCGTATCGATAGGAATCATTCACTTTCCTCATACAAATTAATTTACTAGGGTATTCTAATGAGGCTCTTTGGTATAGATAAATTCAAATATTCTTGAAAAAAAAAATCTCTAAGTCCTTTTTAGGGTACTTAATATGCCAAATTACTAACACCAGACAGAGTCAAATTTGCAAAAGGTTTCTAGGGAGTTACCAAATCAGCAAATTTCAGTAGCATGTATATAGAAGGCAACTGACTTCTCCAAACCTAAAGAATTATTTATGTTGTTGAAAATAAAACATCTGCATCACCTCAGCTAAAAGGTATTCTCTAATTTTCCAGTTTTTGTTCTGCCTGGATTCTGCAATTTCTCTCCGTCCTGCTTTTACAATTAAAACACAGTTAATTTTGAAAAAACCTAACTGAAACTAAAAAAGGATGTTAAAGTGATTTTCTAACATTCTGCAACAGATGGAGGTATTTTTGGTAGAGTTTGGAAAATTCTACAGTTTTATTCTATTGTACTTTCACACTGCAATGTACAATTCTGCATACTGGAGTTGCACATACAAGCATGAGTTGACAAGTAAAATAGCTTTTCAAAATCTGTGAAGTATGTAAGTCATTCCAAAAACCAGCAGAAACATTACATCAAAGCTCTAATAAATGCTAGAATAAATAATTATTTAAATGAACATTGTGGCTCCCTCTCTACCTTGCCCCACAATTTTGTTTCTCATGCTCCAAGGATTTCAGGACAGTTCCTGGAAATTTAAAACAAGTCTGAGGATTATGACTGTATGTTTCACATATATAGTTTTAATATACCCTTAACTGCTCTCAAATATTTGAGCAACATTTTCCTAAATTGGTCTCCAAGATATCTACCTATATATTTGACTGCATAAGAGACTGATTACATGCCTTGACTAAGTTTTCAGCCAGCTCTGAGAACTCCAAGGAAACAGAAAGCCAAGCAAGTAGTTCATCTAGTTGCACTATATGAAGGACTTTTAGAAATCCCTCCTATTTTCATCAGAAGAAATCAGAGTGGGGAAAGCTTGGATGTTTGCACTTTATTATTTTAATACAAAATGAAAAGGAACTTTCAAGTCGGGATTCAAATAACGGGGTAACAGCCAGAAATAAAGATGGCTGAAATAAATAATTAAATAGAACCAATGCATCCCAAGAAGATCATCACGTTTGGGTCCTTTTGAATTTAGGTAAGGGATAGGTGAGAAGCCTCAAACAGGTGTAGGAGGAGGTGAAACAACAACACAGATCTCAGAGAAGGCAGAGCACCAAGCAAGGCAGGAGAGGACACGGGGGATCCCAGCAACGGATAGGAAGATCCTTAAACAAAAAAGGCCGGAATGAAGAGTATAAATATACAGAGCAGGGGCCTGGCCTGCCATTTACTGGTGCTAGGCTTACTTAAAATCCTTTTAAAAGCAACTTTCCATCAGTATTTTGATGTGGGCAGAGCAAACTCAACTAGGACCCATTGCTCCCAACTGGATCACACTGCTTTGTATCGGAGCGGCTTCTACTTGGGGAACAACAAGAAGAAGAGGTCCATTTTCATCAAACTGTGTAAGGAAGCACATTTAGATAGAGGGAGTTCAAAGGCCTTCTCAGATAAGTCCTTCAGTTATTCCATTTTCCAGGAGGAAAAGTCACACACGGCAAGGTTAAAATGTATTAGGCGTATGTTTACAAGAACCTGCTTTTTTGGCTTTTATTGCAGAGATGCCAGTTCAGCATCTCTCCCAGCCCTGAACGTGCCAGGGCTGCGAGGAGTTCTCTGGAAGAGCTGGCAGAGGAAGCACTGCTAGAGACTTCCAGGCAGCTGAGGAGCAGGTTGTTCCAGATGACATGGTAGAGGACCCATGCTAACCTATGTCCATGACTAAGCATGACTGACTGTGCTTTAGCCACTGCTTTGGTACTACTGTAAAACTGATCAAAAACAGCTTCAGACAGGCTGGAATAGGTCCAGAGTTGCACAAAGAAACCAGCATAATGAATAAAATGACTGTAACTTACCAGGATCAAAGTTGTCTCCAAATATTCTTTTAGCTGGAATCTTCAAGTTCATAGTGGGAAATTGCTTCTTGAGCTGAAAATAAAACACAGAGTTGGACTGTGCACAGGCAAGTGTCTAGGAATCATCGCATCTTATTTCTGATTTCTGAGGATGTTTGAATATCTGATCATTAGTAATTCTGCTGCTCTCTGCCATCTTCTATTCACATATTGAGCAAAAATAGCCTGCACTCAGCTTGTTTAGGCAAGTCACGTACCTTTTAAAACCCAAGGGCTGACTTTAGAAGGCTATGCACTATCTTGTGCAGTATTGCTCAAATGAATTCCCACTTAACCATTTACCTCACTTCCCTTTTTCTTTTGTTCTATTTTCTTCTTTTTCTTGCTTGCATACTTGCTTGTTTGTACGTGTGAGGTTTTAAATTGGCTGGGGATATGGGTCCTTGGGTCCCCTCCACATTCCTATCCAAATCACATTCCTATCCTAAGCTTTAGGAACAGCAAATGGTCTACCCCTTAAGCCAAAGCTGTTAATAAATGAAAAACCTATGGGCTATCATTTTAAGATATACTTGAAATAATAACCTACACCTGAAAACTTAATTGTATGTTATATTTGGTAATCAGATTGAGATTATATATAGAGGAGTGAATTTATCAAAAGCGTGTCACGAGCAAAGTCTTGATGACATTCACTTCATCGGGTGTTTGCAGGAAGATCCATGTTATTCATCATCTTTAAGAGGTAAGTTTTCTTATACAGTAACATACACCTCTTCTTTCCTTACAAGTGTTAATAACTCCTCCAGTTAGTCCACCAAGAACTTGGATTGCCACACTATATGAATTATGAAGAACAGAAATTTGACAAAATCACCTCCCTTTCCCCAGATAGCTCCCCCTCTACACACATTAGAGAACAAAACAGGGATGAACGAGTTTCAGAGAAATGTCAATCATAATGGAAACAGAAGTGGCGATAGAAACATGGTCACCAAAATGTCTTTTTAGCATTCTGGTGGTCTTGAAAATGGGACATTTTGTCTCCAAATCATCTCCAAGCCTATCCAAAGAGTCATACAAAAGCCTGGCATGGTGCATCTTGGATGACTTCTGCTCAGACTTTGTAAGATAGATCCAAGCTCACAGCACCTGCATTTGTATAGTGGTGTCCCACACACATCATAGAGATACAGTAAGGCAGAAAGGAAAAATTCCTGTTTCTCATAGGGTTTCTCCATCCATATACATATATATATAACAAATCACAAATAATTATTTCTATTGTTAAAACATAATTAATGGGCTCTAAACATGAAGCAACAGAAAAGTACCAATATAGGGCTTAGCTTTGAAAGTAGGTATAATCCCTGCTTGCCCCTTATGTAAAAAGTGCAAAATCCTTTTCTAGTAATACACCAAAAAAGTCACCATCAGTTGATGAAGAGCTCTATTTTATTATTAATAATAATAATAATGATAATAAAATTAGACCATTGCCATGTAATTTAGTTAGAAAAAGGCAGACAGGAATTGCCACAATTGACTTTCCAGAAAGTTTATACAGGAATTTGTTTTCTGCTTTCAGTTGTTGGGAATAAAACAATTATTAAGGAAAAATCATTCACCTATCTAGCTGTTGAAGAATGATTCTTCCTACAGCAAATACACACACACACTTCAGATGTTTTGAAAAGCAGGAAACTGGAAGTTTCCCTCACTAGACAACAATCTTGAGCAACAATGAAAAAAATGAATTTTGACTTCAAACAAACCAGAGTTTAAACAACAACAAAAATACCTTCACGTTTTGTTTAAACAGGCTCCTGCAGTTGCTGAATGTTGCCTCAAACTACTCAACGAGGCAATTAACTCCAGCACAGCAAACGAGTGTTACTGGCTACTATTCTGGCATGTTCCTTAGCCTCCCTTTTTCTTACCGTATTGTAGAGTTTATCAAATTCTGCATATCGTCTGAAGACAAACCATTCATTTCTGCCAACTGAGACCAACACTTTGTAAACCTGCAGTAACACAAAAATAAAGTTAACGCCAAGAGCAAGGTTTAAGAAAACCCACTAGGCCTAAACTCGGGATGAAAAAAAGGCAGATTGTTAAATTCATTACGTAAATATATTCACTAAACTACACAATTCTTGTAACAAAGTAATGTAAACACCAATCCAAAAGATTTTTTAAAAAGTTACCTTTTTCAACATACAAAAAGCAAAATAAAACAAAACCAACAATAAAGCTGGCTTCATGAATTTTTGTAACAACATGAAGCTAGTGACAGCAGACTATACCAGAAGTGTGGAGAAAGCCATCAAATTCCTCACATGCTGAAGACATTAATATAAGAATTTTGGTCTACTTTGCTCTAAAGTAATCCAGGCTCTGTTATAACATTTGCTGACAATTGAATAATCCATTAAAGGAATTTAAGTATTTAAACACCAAAGATTGCCATAATCAAAACCAAGAGACCAAGCACATACAGAAGGAAGCTGCAAAGAAAATATCTTGAATACATACTACGGTCATACACAAGCCAATACAAGCCATACAAACTATAGACAGCCCATACATGTTATATATATATATTACAGCCAGAATCCTAGTAGATGGCTGGGGACTTGGACAATTGTTTTGCGGGGGAGAGGGATCAACAACAAAACAAATTCCCGCTGCTGCAGCTGAGAGGCAGCACAGATTAAATAACACTCCAGGGAGAAATAGATGCAACCTGCAGCACAGTTCAAATCCCATGGCAGAAGAGAACTCTAATATTAGGCAAAACGTGGCTCTCATAAAACTGATGCACAGCAGAACGGCCTGAAGGCTTCTCCCGCCTCTGAGCAAGACCCTAAGCAAGACTCTCCTTCATACACAACTAGCTGAACTCCCTTCTCCACCTTCTTGTCCTTCCAAAAGGAGCAAGACTATTCCTGCGGGAGAGAAGTGCATCAAGAAAAGGGGAGCAGAAGGCTGCTAATTCCTGCTCTGGAAAGCCAGGATGCTCCGCCTGCCCCTTGCTCCCTTCTGCCCGGCAGCAGCAGCTCCGTAGCCGCGTTGTAGCTACCTCAGTGGAAGCAGCAGCCCCAACGCTGGCTTCCTCAGCCCCGTTCATGCTGTGGCCATCGCTCAAATGCTTACCCTCACTCTGGGAAACACTGGGCAAGGAGGCTGGAGGGAAGCTTCCAGTGACATGCTGATGAGCCTTCACTTAGAAAGGTGTTCCTCCTTTACAGAGCTAGACATGTCGCAGCATACATGAACACGCAGCCTTCTAGAGCCTGCCCAAGGGCTGTGAGCAGCAAAAGCTGCAAATGGAGTCTGAAGTATTGCCCTCCTGACCAAGTTCCTGTTACATCAACCACATCATGCAAAAACAAAAACAAGTAACAGCCTCCCCACAAGAGCTCATCAGTCCCCTTTACTGCAGTGTCGATGAGCTCAAGCATCAGGTCATGGATGTGGCCTTAAATCCATGAGACAAGAGGCACAGACTGTGGAAGCCAGGATAACCTTGGATGCAGAATGATATGCCTACCCCTACACCCCAGCAAGGTCTTTGGTCTTGGAACAGCCAGCCACAACAACAGGTAGACAGGCGGGATTTCGATACGAGCACGTGTAAAGGCAGAGGGGCCGCGAGAGGCCGTCCCATTGCCAGCACTACCCGAGCGCTTGTCCACCACAAAGAGGGAAGTGCAAGTCCAACACTGTTCGCAGCAACTAACGAGAATGCGCACTATATCTGTCTACAAAGAATTTAACAAACTTCTCGGTTGAATTATTTCTACCAATGACACAGGTAACAATTTAGAGGTAATCGCTGTGCTCGTTTCTAGGGAAGCTAGATTTTCTTTTTCCTACCTATTCATATCCAATGATACCAAAACCAGTCTCAGAAAACTCCTAAAGAACAAAACAACAACAACAAAAATATATCCACAACTAATAATCTGTAGCTAAATAATGTAAAACTTTAAGGAGGAAAAACAACAAAATTCCATAGAACACTGTCATTCTGATAAACCCCTTTTCCAGATCTGGATTGGACAGGTCTCAGTTATTTCTGGATGTGATAGACAGATTTCTTCATGAAAGCAGCCACTGGAACAAAACAGCTTCACACTCCTGGATTAAATATTCAAATGGAAAGGTAAGCAAAAACGTAGGGAGAATCATTCTCAATTTCAAGAGAGAGCAAGCGCTGAGAGGCATTTTTTGTCAACAAAAATCAGAAAACTCCACGATTTGAATGGAGCAGAGGCTTGGTATTACAGGTCACAAGTGTCAACCACCTGAGACAAATGTTTCAGATTTAAAGAGAGGAACAGAACCAGTGAAAGAGATTTCACAAGGAGTCGTTAAGTGATTGGGGTGTGAGAGGAGACAAGAAAACGCATCAGAAGAACAAAATTTATCCTCAGACATCAAACAGTTTAGACATAAGAGCAAGCAATCCAAAATAGAGCTATTCGGTAAAACTGGGCGACAGTAAGTGCAGCAGCTTCACAGCAAGGACAGAATAGCAATTAATAGTGCCTAGATACAGTCCAAAGCAACTATTTTGCCTCTTTTCAAGAAGCAACTGAACAGTGAACATTCAGAAAAAAAAGGCAAGACACTGAAGCAGACTGTGTATAATAAGGAAGCAGGTTACCACGATTTCCATCCTCCAACACAAGGACTGCACAGGGATATGACTGCTTTCTTCAAAATGTGCAGAAGAAAGAAGAGCTAAGCGGCCTACACTTGCCTTTTTCTCTGTGCCAACATTAATAATTTAGAAGCAGTGGTGGTAAATAATGCATGTGATTTGGTAATCATTTTAGCATATCACAGATATGTGATAAGGGAAAGATTATATAAAATGATTGCTTGAAATCTGTCCTAGTCTATGCTCTTTTAACCTCTTCTTTCACTCTGAGGCTTTTAATATTCTTACAGAAACAGCACTAACATCACCATCAAAAACGGACAACTATGCAGACTGTAACTTTGTTAAGAGCTTAGAGTCTGTCTGTCATGGTCCATCCCTCCTGTACTCATGGGCCTCTTCATCATCTCTTCTGGGGTTTTGGTGAAAAGCAAAAGCCACTGACAGTGGCACTCTGTTGTTTACAGTTCCAACCACAAAGCACAACCCACACTTCTGTTATTAAATCCTAAAATAAACATGATAAAGCTCAAAAGCTTAGTTGTAAAAAACAGCTGTTGTCAGGCTGACAATTGCTCCCTAATGTAAAAAGCAGGAGAGGCCAAGATGAGGTGTATTTTCACAGAGCCCAAGCCTGGCTGGATCCCCTCTTTTCTTTCTCTCTCCCCAAATTCTGAAGTTTCCTCCTATGGCTGGAACAGCTGTCTTGGAGGTGCACCCAGAGAAAGCCCCCTTTTGCTGCAAAGGTTGTCAAACAGATCTCCTTTAGTTAAATCAGCCCAGAAATCAGGACACTACCGTCTGCCACAGCCGTACCACACTGGCACATTTAACAACGAGACTGCCAGCACCGAGATGGGAAAACAAACCAGTTCTACTGAAAAAGAAAAAGAATAGTTAGACTTTTATGGAGTTTTTCCTGCCGGTTTACTTTGAGCTTCACACACAAACACGAGTTAGAATATTAACTAAATTATCTTTAGTTTGTTCCCTTTACCAGCATACCCCTGCCCCAAATTACATCTTGATAAACTACAATATTTAGGCTAATCAAATTGCATTCTTGTTTCACTGAGGAAGGGAGGTGAGGAGGAAAGACAGATAAATAATTCAAAGTAAAATTTTGTTTTGTTATATTTTTCAGGCTGCAATCAAGTCCAAGGGTGTTTACATTCCACGTTTGAAGAGTGACTAATTCACACACAAAAAAACTAAAAGTAGAACAGGCTCGGAAGAAGTTGCCCAAGAGCAACGAAACAGATCAAACTTTTTCAAGGAATTATTATGATGTCTTTATATCCTAGTAGACATACAAAGCAAGATCAAAACCCACCCCATACTATTACATTTCTTCAGTCTGCACTGCAAAGAGTTTCACCTCGGAACAGAAAGGTTTCACTTCCACAAAGCAAGTCAAACAAGGAGGCCAAAAAAGGAAGCGAGGGAGGAGAACGACAGGGATGGAAAGAGGAAAGGGGGAGCAAAAAAGATTAACAGGCAAAAGAAATGGCAAATGGGAAGGAATGGGGAAAAAAAATAAAAGTATTTCCAAAAAGGTGAGCATAAGGTATCTATGAGAAAACAGTCTTGGCAAAACAAACGAGAAAAACAAACACCACACAACCACCACACACACACACTTATTCCTTGCATATTTTTTTTCATGTAAAATCATGCAACTTTCCAATTTTCAATCTGCTTTGTTAACAAAATGCTATCTATATATTTAGGATGTTTATGGACCTAATATGAGAAGATGCCAGGATTTGGGGAGAAAAAAGGCATCAGAAATCTATAAAGCCAAATGCTTCCTGCAGAAAATACAGGTAAACACTGCGAAATATTCACAGCTTCTCATATTGCAGAGCCTGATGTTTATTATGGCCAGTGCTCACCAGAGCAAGTGAATGGATCTCTGTAATCTGTACAAAGTAATAGCAAGCTTACAAGCAAAACCAAGTAACACATAAAGGAAAATGCATAGGCTAGTGCTTACAATGCTTATATTTTTATACACTTACAGTAAATCTTTTTTTCTTCTCTCTGTGTTCATCAGAGCTGGGAATGCTAACACTTGGGCAGCTTTCTTTGAGATCCATTGTATATATTCTTCTGATGAATCTGTCACAAGACTCTGCTTGAGGTGTCACAAACAAGACAGCTTCAACGGTACTGATCCAGGACATGCAGCTTTTCTTGAAAAAACGTGAATTCCATCATGTAATCTTAAAATGAACATAAAACAAAAAATCAGGCAGGGGAACGCACAGTGCTAAAACCTGCAAGACAAGAACTTTTCCTGGCAGGAAATACAGTGTATTATGCATATACAGAGCTATAAATGTTACAGTCTTGTAAACTGCTTCACGTGGTCCTTTCTCCTTTCTCTAAAGTCACTGATGTTCTCCGAGGACACAAGTGCACCCAAAAATCACTGCATTGTGTAGACAAAGTGGAAATAGATTTGAGGTCCATTTGAGGTCCGCTACAGAGACTCTAGTGAAGCACAAAGGTAGAGCACGGAGAAATAATCAAAGACAACAGCTGTGTATATCAAAAGCCTGCAAAAAGCTACTAACATGTACATTCAGAACAGTTTGTTTTAAAAGCAAAGATTTTTCAATTGCCTGAGTCTGTACTAGAGGGCATTCCAGATCTGTCAGAACATGCTGAGCAGCTACAATTATGACACCCGAGATGAAAGAAGACATGAGACAGATGTATGTATCTTTTCAGGTGAATTTTAGAGGAGGACACAGGTTGCATCACGTGTTTGGTCAAACATTGTGCAGTCTATTTTTAGCACAACACTGATGACTGCTGTAGCTGACACTGGTCTGGCGCCACATTCCCCTTGGGCACATTTTGTGCGTGACAGAGCCGGTCCCTTCGGAAGAACACTCAACTTCCCCACAGAGCTTCCAAGGAGAAAAGAAGAAGGGCAAAAGTCATGCATGAGGATGAAGCCATCAAAAAGAGAGAACTCAGTAGTAACTAAACGTCCTTTCACTCACTGAAACTATTCAGCACACAAGCCAAATGCTTCACCGGTCCACACTGCAAATGCTGCAAACTTTAGCACTGCCTGAGAGCACTACAGAGCCACGCTATTTACCTACAAAACCATGTCCAAGCCTGCATGGCCATTTGAAGTCTTGTAGTGAATGCAGCTCAGTTTTTAGCACAGTCTGTGCCTGACCGAGTTACAAGCATGAGAAAACTCTTTTAAAAGATAGGAGACCTCAGTTCTCTCTCAAACACTCAGAGAAAAAAGGAGCGCCCAGTTCAACACTTGACTATTTTTCTTAAAATAGAGGAGTATAAAAATGAGCCACATATTTCATACCCTACATTTCCAGAAAGCACAAACTAATCTGATGTAATTCTGCTATTACAGAGACACCCATATTTGTGTTGGCAGGGCAGTCAGAGACCCTGGAATCCAGTTAAAAGATTTGCTCTTGATACTCAACTAGTCTTAGTCAATTGACAATTTTTCTTGCTCTCAAAAGCCAGATCATCTCCCTAATTCAAACTTCACGTTATTATTCCTCATGCTTAATTTTAAATTTTTCATTTTTAAAACACCTATGTGGTGATTGAAAACAACAAAAAAAGAGCATTTAAAACCACTGTAATAACAGGCAAGTGACAGAACAGCCAGACTGGAACATTATTCTGTTACTTTTAGTTGTACTTGTGCTTGCCTTGATTGTTCCCCGTTTCATTGATGAGGAGATGACAGAGTTGGGCTTTTTTTTTTTTCTTAATTATTAATTGACTATAACACCGTTCATCTAAACTAGTTATGCAGACCTAGAGCATTAGAGGGGGGGTTCCTTTTCCTTTTGCAAGCCACTGTTAAAGGCCTTATTACAAAAGCAGCAGTTCCCACTTCACCCAGTTTTATGCAGGCACGCAATTAAGGCTGTTCCTCACCCATTCCCCCGCGACGAGTCCAAAATCTAAAGTGCAACTTCCCTTTTCTCCCGCCTAGCAGGCCCACAAGGACAACAGAAAGTGGGTACAGCTTTCAGCAAGCGCTTTACTAGACTCAGACTTACTAAGCACTTACATCAGTCTTGAGCCACTTCAAATACAGCTAACATTGAGCACAAGTCCTCATGCCTATCTGCCTTCCTGTCACCACATAAAACAAGAGGAGCTTTAAAATAGATTCAGTGCTCCTTAATCAGTATCATTCAATGTCCTTCTCTTTTTGTAGACTGACTTTTCTTTATAAAAGGCTCCTACCATGCTTAAATTCCTTCTGACAATATAGGCTGTGCTTCTCTCAACCCTTTCACTTTTCATTCTTGTCCTAGTTTTAAATACCACTAAGAGGAGCAGTAGGGATAAAAGCTGCATCTCCATCAGGCATCACTGAACAGATGTGAGATAAAGCTCATTCTTAAGTTAAAAGTTCAAGGGGAAACAAAAGAAGGAAGTGCTAGTCCAATTAGGTCAGGATAAATATAATCGTGTTGCTGGGGGGAAAGAGAGGAAAACACCTGAAAAGGTGAAACTCCAATATTTATGCTCCTTTTCTTAACCTGCCTGTGAGGCCACTAGCTGTGATTATAGTTTTTCCCTGGAAGCACCTCCTGGCCCAGTCGCGCCTGGGTCACCAACACCATCCTGAGCCTGCAAACTTGGAAGAAGCACTTTGTCAGTCTGCCACTAGGACCTGGCAGAGCAGAGCTCGCTTCCAACTCCTGCTTGCCATGAGTGTATCAGATCCCAAGAGCTTGTTTAATTTGAACTGCAGGTTCTGACTAGAAAAAGAGGAACATTTGCTCTAATTCCTAAATCATTGCCGTGCTGTAGGTTAGGAGCATAGATAAATGGACAAAATCACTAATGCTTCAGTAACTACGTGAAATAATGACAAAAAGCAGAGACATCTTTTGGTCCACTCCCTTGGAAATGCAAACTGCAGCATCTGTCCCTGCCCCCACTTACAGGTTTTTCTCTAAGTAAAAGCAAGTAACCCCTTGCCTCAACTTCCATGGCAGGAGGAGACAGGCAGAAAGGAGAAGGAACTTTATAAAATCAGTTGACAAAATAAATACCCCTTAAATCACATTTGAGCAGTAGTGAAGGAGCACGTAGATAATGTAAAACATGTCAGCACTGAGCACAGTGCCCTTCAGAAACATTTACCACTAGCTACAACTTTCAAGTATCCAAGTCTGGAATAGGGGGAAGCACAAACAAATATACACAGGAGAGTGCAGAAAACGTACTCCTCTGCAGACCTAGATGGCAAGAAGCATTGAAGCAAGCTGTGTATGTCTTGGTAACAGAAATTAATCTATAAAAAAAAAAGTCTTGATGCTTTTGGCATCATTTCAAGGCTGCCAGACAGCCGCACTGTTCACTCCCTCCCTGGTGGCCGTCAAAAAGCAAACAGCATTTTCGTCCTTTTCTGGGGGCAGTGGCAATAGGTCAAATTTCAGGCCAACCCTCGCCTAGGGTGGAGTAAGAGCATGGCAATAACAGAACCCTGCCACTGTGAAAACACTCTCAGATCTGCGGTACCCAGAAATGAAGAATTTATTGAAAGCCTTACACTGAAACACTTCAGGTGATCTCTGAAAAGCTACATGCAACAGACAAATACAGCATACGGCAGCCTTTGCTCACTCCTTTCCACGTAATCTAGGCCCAAACTGTAATGCAAAAGGTTTCTAGAGCTTAATCAATTATTTTAAATATATATACTTTTTAAATATATATTTTAAAATTCTTAATCAAGGCCTGAGGATGATACCATTGCATGACCACAGACCCTTGTACCAAGAACATTCAAAACCAGATCAGAAAGCTGGGTACTCCCCTGCTGCCTTTGTAGCTAGTAGTCAAATTATTGCTTTTAAATCCTCCCATTGTACTGATGTCAGCGTGAATCAGCTATCTTGTTCACTCCAGTTCTATGATTAATATAAGTGAAGAGAGATAAGAGCATCCGAAGGAGACTATCTCGCCTCCTCGCAAGCATCCTTGAAGACTCGGCCAGATTCTCTCTGCCTTTCGCGCTCTTCTTCCTCACTCTCCTACAGCTACAGAGCAGGACTGTGTCCTACACCACTTCTGCCAACCATCCACCTAGAAAGCCTACTGTAGGACTGGGACACAAGTAACACCAGTCGCTGAAAGTCTCCACCTGAGTACCATCCCAACTGCAGGAGAAACCTGCAGAAATGAGAGCAAGAGACATCAGGCAGGCTTAGTATTTGTCATCACTCTGCTCCCTCATACTTCAGGGAAAGCGTTGCCTTTGGAATGCTCTTCATAAACTCCTCAGCCTTCTCCAAAAATACCTCATAGTTGCTCAACATGTCGCTGGACATTGCACAATTTTTGCAACAGCAAAAAAAAAAAGTTGGCTTATGCTCAGCTGCTGGATGGGGAGAGGGGGAGCCCCACTTGCTTGCCAGCAGACAGGCAGCGGACACAGAGCAAACGGGATATTCCCAATCCAGGCGATGGAAAGACAGGTCCAGGAGAGCCAGGGACTGCTAAGCTGCCAAGAGACACAGCTGGCCTGAAGCTGTTGAGCAACCAACCGGGTCTAAGAAATCTAGTTTCACACAGGCTACCCTTTAAAATACCCTATAAATGTGATTTTTTACAGGAATACTAGATAACAGTGTAGGTCTCTAGAAACACTACTTAAGGCTGGACAGAAAGGAGAGCACATACCAAAATACTTCAGCCAATCGCTGGCTTATCTCCACACTCCCTTCTAACTACAATTT